GGGGGAGAGTTGTGACCCTTCCCCATACCTGGAGTGTCAACTCACCCTTCAGTGCTGGGGGGGGTTGGGTGAATTCCAGTTGCACTTAGGTTTTTACCCACTTCCCAGAGCTTGCACAGGACCCTGGGGGAGCTTTTTGGGGTCTCATGGGGGAGGGTGCCTTCCCCTAGTGGAAGTCTTCCCTTGCAGGCTCTGCAGAACAAAACTTGCATCACTGGCTGTAATGCACTTTTGGCAGTGGGGAGATCAGTTCCCAGTTTCCCCTTTTTGCACCCTTTTCCCCCACCTAGTGGTATATTTTGAATAAATAAAAAATAAAACCAGACAAAGATGCTTATTTTTATTTTTGAGGGTTTTTTATTTTTTCAGTTACATAGAGGAGAATGTTTTGAACTGATACTGGGCTGCTGGCTGTACCTGGTGGTAGCAATTAGGAGTTACCACTTAGCAAGCCCCCCTTAAATACACCTGTAATTAAAGCGAATGAGGTGTTTTGACATGTACTACCCCATTTCATCTTGCATTTTAAAATGCATCCAACCAACTAGCTTTAATTAAGGCTATTTTTGCCACTTTAAAAGCTCATTAAAGGCAGTCATGTGCATTAATTAGGGACTTTAAGTCTGCTTTAAATGGTGAAAATCATCATGTGTATAAATACCCAATGTATTGCAGAGGTGCTGGTTGAGGCATGAGGGTGCTCCAGTGCAGGGCTAGCCAGCAGGTGACTCTTACACTGAAATGTGAAGCAAATTGGTTAGCAGTGCTCTTCTGTGTTACAAATCAAGGATATTTATATTTCCTTAAGACTGGAGTTCTCAATCTTTTTAGACTCAAGGCACCACTTGGGAAATGCCAGCTCTTACCTTTCACTTACGTTTTCCAGTCAAAAAACATAGAGCAGTTCTGTTGAAAAGAACTCAGAAAAACTCTAACAGCTCAGAATAATTATGATGCTGTGGGCTGCTATTTGAAATCTCTGGGTTTATCTTGTGAATAATGTAGGTATTTGCACACCTAACAGTAATAATATTGCACAGCATCCTTAGAAGAAACTCATAGCATTTCAGGGTGCCGCAGAACCCTGACTAATAATCACTGCCTTGCATTCAGATATACAGAGTTCTTAAAAAAAAAAAATATTTGACTTTCATTTAGCTTGGGTACTGTAATATTGCTGCTGATTATTTATTTATTTGAATTTTAATAACAGTGTGTCCCTACAAACTTTTGATACCTAGAATATACCTAAAAAGGCCATCACACTGTTGCAGCAGCCACTCTTGATTATGGAGCACTTCCATTCTCACTGGCAGGTTTCTTTTTGTCTATTTGATTCTCTCTGTCTTTTTCTTTCTCTCTTCCTTTCAGTCCCCAGTGCTAACAGCTCTTCCCAAATGTTAGAACAGTGGGGGCAGCTTTTTGGCAGGTGTGCCACAAATTAATCCTGTGCCCTCCCCAAGTGCCAGTGATCCCTGCCTTTGTTTTCTGCTCCCTGCGGTGGGCCACACAGACGCTGCCTGTGCCACAGGTGGCCACAGGTTGGCCACCCCTGTGGTAAGGTGGAGTAATGCTTTTGTGGTGTACAATAGATAAAAAGCAGCCAATACCATCTCTACGCTTGGTGTACCAGCATATCTTACAAAATAGTTTCATAGTTTCTAGGGTTGGAAGGGACCTGAACAGATCATCATGTCTGACCCCCTGCCCTGGGTAGGAACGAGTGCTGGGATCATAATACCCCAGCCAGATATCTATCCAACCTCCTCTTGAAGACCCCCAAGGTAGGGGAGAGCACCACCTCCCTTGGGAGCCCATTCCAGAGCCTGGCAGCACTAACCATAAAGTAATGCCTCCTGATATCAAACCTGAACCTACTCTCAATCAATTTGTGGCCATTATTCCTTGTTATCCCAGGTGGCGCCTGGGGGAACAGAGCCTCACTTATTTTCCGCTGGTCCCCCCCAGTGAGTTTATAGATGGTCACCAGATCCCCTCAGTCTTCTCTTGTGGAGGCTGAATAGATTCAGGCCCTTTAGTCTATCTTCGTAGGGCCTGGCCTGCTGGCCCCTGACTGTATGAGTGGCCCTCCTCTAGACCCTCTCAAGGTTAGCCACATCCCTCTTGAAGTGCGGTGCTCAGAACTGGACGCAGTACTCCAACTGCGGCCTGAGCAGTGCTGCACAGAAGGGAAAGATCACCTCCCTGGACCTGCTTGTGATGCATCTGTAGATGCACGACAAGGTATAGTTAGCCTTACTGACCGCTTCCTCGCATTGGCGGCTCATGTCCATCCTGGAGTCAACAATGACTCCAAGATCCCTTTCAGCCGCTGTGTTGTTGAAAAGGGTGTTCCCCTGCTTATAGGTATGTTGCAGATTCCTTCTCCCTAGATGCAGCACCTTGCACTTGTCTGCATTGACTTCCATTCTATTCTCATCCGCCCACCTCTGTAACCTGTCTAGCTGTAGTTGGATTCTGTCCCTCCCCTCCAGTGTGCCTGCTTCTCCCCACATCTGTGTCATCAGTGAATTTGGACAGCATGCTTTCCATGCCTACCTCCAAGTCACTGATAAAGATGTTGAACAGAAATCTGAAAATGAACAGATATGTATTCCCTCCCACCACCACCTTTTTTGGTCACTTCCATTTTATTAAATGGACAAAACTCAAGCTTCTTTCTTTGGGCTTATCGGTGTTGACTCTGTAATTTGAGTAAAAATTAATGAAGTAATTTCTTTTAGAAGACGTGAACGATCAAGGGAGAGGGACCACAGTAGGTCGAGAGAAAAAAGCAGACGTCACAAGTCCCGTAGCAGAGATCGTCACGATGACTATTACCGGGAAAGAAGCCGTGAGCGAGAGAGACATCGTGATCGTGACAGAGATCGCGACAGAGAACGTGACAGAGAACGGGAGTATCGTCATCGTTAAAGAAGGTGGGCATGTTAGTTTCCTGCTTTATAAGTAAATGGTTTCTTTAATTAATAGCAGTAAGTTTTGGCAGTGGATTATTTATATGGTAAATGTCTATATTTTAAATGCTCCAGCAGTATGTACTGAATCCTTTCTTCTTGTAGCATCTGAGGCAAACTTCGGTAAGTAATGAGAGGTAACTATCTTGTCTTGGTGTGTGCGTGTGTACGTGTGTTTTCTTCTGATTGCATGTATGTTTAATTTCTGTGGTGTGGTATTGATCTTAGCAACTTTTTGGGTGGGGATTAAATAAATTCTTGAAAAGCCCTTAAGTCAGCTTAATGGAAAAAAGTCTTTTATTGGTATAATGAAATGCTGAAGCTTAGATACCCACTTCTCTTGATCACATATTTCAAAATTTAAACAGTAAATTGTGATTGTTTTAATGTAGGGGAGCACTTGCATACATCTAAAGCTTATCCTTCACCCTTCACTGTGACCAGACTATGGCCAAATCTGTGGTCCTTGTTAGGGTTCTTGCACATCTGGTTTTCTCTTGGTTTCATTGGGAGTTTTACTTGAGTAAGGGCTCTAGCAAGATTTGGTTCTAGTTTGTAACATGTTACCTCTTAATATTTCAACCTGTATTCTCTGGTCCTTGAACTAAATCCAGATGCTGTCCCATGCTAGTTGTATGGCTTTTTGTGTCCTTCATAATTGGTTAGAGGTTCAGCTCATCATGTAAAGACTGATGAATTAATGTATAAATGGGTTCCTTTTCTGCTGTTTTTATATACACTGAAAATTGTGTTTCTGTATACATCTGTGGTCCCTTTCTACGTTAAACATGAAAGCAGCTATGTAGTAGTACTTTGAGTAGCTGCCTAAACCCTCAATTGCTAACTGGAAAAATGGATGTTAATGTTCAGTCCATATGTAAGCAGTTTTATATATGTGCACCACTCTGAGGATTTTGAATTGAAGTTGTTTGTTCCTTATATGATATAGAACAGAAATTGGTCTCTCTCAGTGTCATTCAGAAATCCCTCATCTTTACCTTGATTTAGAGCAGTTCCATATTACCTACATTAAAACTCAAGCTGTGAAAACATGTCTGTTGAAACTTCATTTGTTTGCCTTTAAATTTTTGCTTTTATAGTTGTATGTGGCATTTATTCATAAAGATTCATTCAAATGGATTAATAAAACCAGAACAAAACTGTTAGTATTCATACAAAATTTAGTATACCTTAAGTGAAAGGAATTGTGTAATGTCAGCTTCTCCTGGTAGGCCTCGAACACTCGGCATTTCAGGAGAAACCCAGATCCTAATCTTACAACAACTTTACCTCACTTAGAATACATATTGTCTTAATACAAAAAAATAAATGTGTGTTGAAAAAGCAGGGCATGCCTTATAAATTATACATTTAAGTTAAAAGTAGTGATACGCTTTATTATCTTTCTAAGGCCTTTGAAAAGGGTGGAGTTAAAGAGAAAAATATTTAATTCCTAGATCTGCTAGAAGCAAAACATAACCCTAAAGGAGCAAAATGGCCACACTAATTAATTAGTATTAAAATGAACTGTTCTTGGTTCATACTTGGTGGCTAATCCAAGGTGGCCCCAACAAAGGAGAATCAGTGGGTTAAATGAAAATTGGTATGATGTGATTGACATTCCGTTGATCATAATATATCCTTTAAAATGTCTGTGATGCTTACCAAAAATTTAGAAATATTCTTGGAATGTCGGGGAGGGAAGCAGGAAAAGGCCATTTTGGTTTCTGTATATAAAATGTCAAAACAGAAGTTTCAAACTTTCAACACTGAATGTAGTTTCTTTCTTTTAAAATGGACTCTCCCTAGCTATCACAGGTTTTTCAGACATATTTGTATTGTATGTGGCCAGTACTGTGTAAGAAGTAACCTGTTTGGGCTGAATGACAGTTTTATATTTCCAAGATTTCTTATTACCTCTGTTGTATACAAGTAAATTGCATCAGCAGTTGTTAATAATTTGGACTAAATGCTTCTATGTGCTTTAATTAACCAATTTAATTTTTCATGTATTCAGACCGTGTGTCTGTTTTGGATCTTCTATGCTAAGTATAGATAATTTCTCCCACTCTCTCTGTTACCCCCAACAAAGTGTCTGAGGGGAACGGCTGTTACATTTGATTACCAAAAAATCTTTAACAAAATGTTAAATCTGGTACTCAAGTGTATGGTTTATTCGACTCTCGGTATGTGTGGAATTTGCATATACAACTTCCTCAAGTCAGTGTTTTGTGTCCTGAGACTTTTGGATTCGGAGAAGTTGTATAGATAAGTGCCTTTGCAGCAAGAGACGAATAAACATATGATTTAAAGGGAATTCATAGTGGCCTGAATGTAAATGAGAGGTTTGTATTTAACAGCTATATTGTAAACATTGTCTTGTTACTGTCTTATGAAAAAAGGGCCTAACTTTTATGGTTTTCTGTAAAGTACTTCAGTAATTTGGCTTGTGTGTGTGTGCATTTTCACCAAGATGTATGTCTTCATACATTTTTTTGTTTGGGGTTTTTTTTTACATGACTTTCTTTAAAAAAATCAAAAAAAAAAATCTAAAGTTTCCCAATTGCTTACTAAAAATAATAGTAATTCCAAGAGAAATTTTTCTCCCTTTTGCCTACAGTCTTTTACCACATAAAGAGCTTATCTGTGTGCCTGCATGAATGGCATCTATTTTCCTCTCTCTTTCTGTGTATGCTTAGTAGTGCCACAATGCCCTATGAGCATATTTAACGAAAATGTTACATACTTACTTTAGAACTGTTTTAAAGGTCCATTGTAAATTTTTGTATATAGTGAAACATTAATCAGTTGTTTGATTAATCATTTGTCATTTGTATCTAATTACATTCATATGTAGATGGATTAAATTTGAGTAATTTAGTGTTCTGTAAGGTTTTCTGGAAAAAATCAGATGTACCATTTCAGATTTTTACACTTCTGTTTGTACATTTAATGTTCCAAAACTGAATTGTCATGAGACTCTTATGCGTTTTTACTTGGACAGATTCTGAGTTTTTCTTGACGTCTGTCTCTTGGTATCCTAAGAGTAATAGTGAAATTATCAGTGTAAAAGTCCAAAAACATGGTGAATCTGTTTCAGAGGAAGGGGAGAAAAGTACAACTTTCTGACCTTTTAAGTAACCTTTAAGAAAACAATAAGTCTGTTTTGTTAATCAGAATCTCTTATGCAGAGGAAGAGTAGCAGAAAAATGAACATGTACAAACAGAACAGTAACTTCATCAACCTGATTTCCCCCACACACACCTTGGGTTTGTTTGTTTTTTTAAAGACAGTTTTTTAGTTTACTTGGTACTTCAGCAATGTATTTCAACTGTTAAACTGTCTTAATCTTAATCCTATTGTCTGAATTTTTATAACTATTGAATGTTATGTTTTTTTATTTTCTGTTTTTGTTTGTTGGGGTGCTGATTATTTTCTAATTAAACTGGAATTGGACTAGCTTACAAAGAGAGAGTTCACTAATATTGTAGTTTTCAATATGTATGTAGTTTTTGCTCAGTTTTCAGAGCAAACTGAGCTCTCTGATTTCGTGTTCTCAAACCACTGTAAGCAAAATCCTTAAACCTTCTGCTGTACTTTCTTAAATACTCTCCACAAAAGGTACTCATGGCCTTATTTAATAAAATATTTTTCAGTATTAGTGTGGTTAAAGCACAAGTGCAGGCTTTTGACTGTTTAAAATAAAGATAGCTTTACCAGGTCAGTTCTTGTTTTCTTTGGGCAACAGGGTGGGTGTTGAATGCTTATTAAGACTTTGTTTTTAAACTTGCAGTTAGTGAAGAACGTGTATTTTACAAATTAAAATTTTATTATTAAAGCCAATAGCTATCAATTTACCTTGAGTGGACCTATATGGTAGCATTATTCAGTGCCTAACCGTACTCAGTTTCTTGACATTGTTGCAGAGCTAGTTAACACTGGCATAGTACTACCATTTTTTTTCAGCAGCATATATTGCATCTTATGGTAAAAAATGCTGTATTTGAGGAAAAGTAATGAGAATCTGGGTACTGAAGAAGACAGTGATGGTGATGGACTGTTCACTCTTACTTGGTTCTTCCTTTCCTTGGATTCCTGAAAATTGTTTGTTATTGTTAAATAATTTGGCCTTTTTGGTAAATCCTAATGTCCCTCATAAAAGGATATCAATACTTTTTGTGCATTGACTGAATGCCTGAAACTCATCATGGAATGAAGAGTGTAAAAAAAGCAAAACAAAAAAACCCTTCCACAACCCCCCCCAAAAGTGCCACTGTTTTGTGCCTTTACTTTTTGTTATGTAAAATAGTCTAAGTGTATTAATTGTTATTGTCTTAATGCTTTATGGTAATGAATAGCTTCTGCTGTAAGGTATACAGCGACTTGGTGCTATTTGGTATCTTGGTGCTATTGGTATCTTGATAATTTCCTAAAATAAACTAAAATTTAGCCCTATTAACTCCTCTTCAATTGTATAATTGTACAATATTTGTTAATACTGCAGGTATATTGTATCTCTTTCTGTAACTTTGCTCATGGGCTTGAGATTTCATTATTTTTCCATACCCTGAACACTTTCCCTTCAATTCTTAAGACAGCAGCTGAGAGTGAAGCTTAGGTTGTAGAGCAGTTCCATAAGAAATCAGTCTTTCAGGCTACTTTACATTTGGAAACTCGGGAAACTGCAGTCAGAAGGATGGTTGGAAATGGTATTCAGAGAGGAAATTAATTGAGCCTACAGTATCCCTTTTTGCTCACTGTGGTTTGAAAACTAAGCTGTCTTTTCAGAAAAAAATATCTTTTTTTTTTATCCTCTGTGTCATCTTGATCTGCCTTTTGGTGTTTCCTTTATCTTGATATGGTAGATATTTGGTTCCCAGCTTTATCATTTGTAAACTAAAATTAGTTTTTCAGAGGTATTGAATCTTTGATTTTTAATGAATTCTAATAAAAAATGTTGTATGCTCTGTAAAAGAAATCTATTTGAATTATGGATAAAACATTAAAGAGTTAAAAGCCTAATTTGTTAGGCACATTGGAAAATGCAGATCTCTACTGAACATGCTATATAACCAGACGTACGTTTTCAGTGATTAGACAAGCTGGGTTAATACAAAATGCTTCTGATGAATGAATCTAGAATTTGGGAATACGCTTTTATTTTCTTCCCTTAATTTTTTTTTATGTGGGGTGGGTGTAGTTTTGGTTTCGAAATATGACTAAAATTAAGCAAAGGTGTAAGGTAAGTACAGTAGTACTAGAAGTCAGCCAAAACGTTAAAAAAGGCAAAAAAAATGATTGTGTACATGTATATTAAACAACTACATGTATGTGCTCTGACTTAAGTGCAGAAAAGCAAAGGAGTTTAGAATCAAGATTGAAGCTCTTTTGTTCTCAACCTATTTTGTCTCAGTTTTGTTAAAAACTATAATCCCAGCTATTACATTTTGAATCCTGGGTTGAATTGAGGAATGAGTTTCAGCCTTGAAACTGAATTTTTGTAAGACTTTTACCTTTGTCTGTAAATTTTTTTTCTTTGTATATAGAATAAAATTAAAAAAATAATTTTATTGAAATACATGTGAAGGAACCATTAGTATCTGATTAAAAACATCTGTATTTTTTGCATTTTTTTTCAAATGTGAGCGTATTATGAGTCTGTACCTGATCCTTGAAATTACCTTAAATTTGTTTAGAGTACTGTTATCATTTAACAGGTGTATGCCTATGGAACATTTCTGGTGCTCTGAGAGTTGTCAGACTCTCATATCCTAGCTGTTAAAATACTGATACAGATACGTAGAATATTTTAAAAATAGCAAAGCTGCTACTGCAAGCTACTTTGAAAAATATCCAAAGGACCTGTTGATCCAAATTATAAGATTTGTAGTTATTTTTTTATGTTTGAAAAACAAAATATCCAAAGCTACAGAAGAATAAAGAGATGAGCCTCCTTTCTTTTTAAGGTGTTGAGATTCTTCTGTAGAATGTTGGGGTCATAGACCAAGATCAGAAGTTTAAACCATAAGCAGGCTATTCTTCAGCTGACATTTTAAAATCTGAAAATTTGGGTTTTATTAATGGGAACGTTGAGAAATGGTTTGCTTTATGGTAACAAGCTTACACAGCTATAATGCATACTGGGGACCGACAGCTGTTGATGATTCTTAAACCAACAGAAAAGTGGTATTACCAAACATCATTGACAGAGAATATTTTACTATGCAAACATTTGTTGTTTATTCTTGATGGAACCATTTTGTGCTTGATGGAACCATACTGAAATGTTAATATATGCTCTCACAGACTTATTCTCTCTGTTAGGAACCATAAACTCTGCTAGGATGATGTTAAGATTTTCTTTAAACAAAATTTGTGTCAGTTTTGGGGTATATTAGTTTTTTGTTTTGCTTTGTTTTGTTTTTCCATCAAAGATTCGGTACAATATTGCTTGTCTTAATATATTGTAGTGCCCTAAATTTAAAAATGTTGATCATGTACCACAGGTTCTACAGAAGCCTCTGCATTTTCTCAGATACCCTAACAGATTATCCCACAGACCTTGCATGTTTTGATGCTCATACTGTAAATCAGATTTATAGTGCTCTTGGATCTGTTAATTGTCACATTAAATGTGCTAATGATCCATGATTCTTTTTTTATGCTCCTCTGAAATACCGACTCCCATGTTTGCCTGCAGGGAATACATTGTGATCACTGTTTTTGCAAGTTAAGCCTTAAAAGCAACTGTAGAGAATTTGGTCTGTTTTGGAGGAGAGAATCCCCAGATATAGCTGGCAGTCAATATATTTGCCACTTGATAGCACAGTTCAGTTTGAATTTGAAGAGTTCCAGTTACTAGTTCAAATTTGGACGGTTCTGGGACAGACCCTTTCTTAGAGCATAAACTTCTGATTTTATATATTTTAAAAAATAAGTCAGTGCTAGTCATTTTTTAGGAGGATAGGAGATCTTGTTAATTATAGTTTTGGTAAACACTTACATTGGTTCCTAAGTGCCTCAAGGCTTCTTAGTAGTGAAAGAATTCTTGACAGCTGTGTGCTGCTATGTGTTCATGAAATTACATCTCTAAATGTCTGGTTTTGAAATGACCAATTTAATATGCTACTTTCATTTACATTCATATGAAGTTGCTGATTGTTGAAATTGTGACATACTGCTGACATGAAGCTAACTAATTGTGTTTCATAATGGCATTCAAATAAAACATCTATGTATGGAATTATACCATCCAAGTACTATGTGAGCTGCTACAGTAGCTATTAGATTAATTAATTTAAAGAATTAGGCAAATTAGAAAGTAGGTTTCTTGGTTATTTTCCTTTTAATGGAAGAAACCTGACTTCTTTATTGTTTAAATGGTACAACGTGGATTTTTATATTGAAATTTTGAAAGAGGTTTCTTTCTTAATTTGAGCCCTGTGTTGGTTTATCACTTGGCAAATTTTGTAACACAAGCCTCAGGCTCAGTTGCACAAGACACTGCACTGTTAAATGCAACTAAATTGTGAAATGCCCTTTTCATTATACATTCATCATTAATTTGTTAAATTAATTAGTTTAGAATTACTGTAAATAGGTAGGTAAAATGTAAATAACAAATCTGTTTGTGGTGATATCATCTAAGCAATTTTTCATTTATTGCAGTATGCATATTCTAGGAAATGTTCTATATAGATTCCATCACTCACAGAAACAGTAGCTATTTTTTCTCTCATGGTTCAGTGTTTAACTGTTTGTTAAATTATATTTCAACTTTCTGGTACATTTAACATATTAAAAATACTGTATTATTCTCTGAGAATTTTTTTCAAACAAGTAGCTACTGCTTCCATACCTTCTCTTTGTGTTAGATTTACATTATGGTAGATGCACGACTTGTATATGTATAGTTAAGCCAACATTTTTCTGTGTATTATGGGGACTAGCAAAATCTACATCACAAATTTTGACACATTACAGCTGAAGGAAGAGGAACACCTTGCAAGACAAGAAACATTCTTCAAGGAAAGATGCTTGTCCAGCAGTTTGCTTCTTGTGATTGAACTGAGCCTGTAAGGATTCATGGATAAAATGAACAGGAATAGATCTGAATAAAGCAAATCTGCATACATGGTAACCAGTAGCTCTTTTACTTTTTTATGTTGCTTAATTGTTTTATTTGAGGGAAACCTGTGTGATTTAAAACTTATAGCTTTTGCAACTTTATTACTGGTTATATACATTTGGCAATTATAATGTGCAAGCAATTGGAAAAAAAGTCAAGTAAATGCTTGTTTTTATAGTAGTTTGTTCTTGTTAAAAATGTTCATATGATAATGTCTGTACACGGCACCACTTTGATTACAATAGATGTAGTGTTGTAATAAACTGTTTAATGGGGCTGATGTGTAAAGCTGTTCAAGTTATTTGATGTTTACACCTCAGGGAAAGTCTTGTGTTCAGCAATATTTAAAGATAATGTTACTATGAAAACATTTATACTGTCTTCAAAAAGCATTGCAATAACTTTTGCATAAGCATCAACCTAATCTTGCATTCAGTGAGTTAAGCATACTAATGTCACTCTCACACTTGATTTTTTTTATATTAAAACAGGTGATGAGACAAAGTCTTTAATTCTATTTTGCTTTTCTAGCAATTTTTACATAGATGGCTTGTGAATTTGCTAAAAGGCATATAAAGCTGTAAAAACTGCAGTTTGACTGTCATTCTGTTATACACAGTCTGTCATCCTTTTTTGGGAGGAGGACCCAGGTTGATTTTACTTAAATTGAAACCTACAGTTTATAGTCTGACTGATATTAACGTTATTTTTATTTAAACTATTAATATTGGGGAAATGTCCCTTTGAAAATACAGCTGCAGTTATTTATGGTTTTATATTAATAGGCTTTTGTGTGTTCCATTTTCCCCGAGGCCAGAGACAGTCTGTACGTAGCTGTATATTAGATAAATGTGATTGAAGAAACCAATTGTTTCCATTTTTTCTAGAGATCTATTCCAATGGGTGTGACATTTTTCTTGACCCTCTGGGGTTTCATAGGTTAACTCACACATTTGTATAAAGGGAAAGGTATACAACATGTGCGTCCCTTGTTCACTGATGAACAATATTGAATCGTCTTAACAAAAAAAATTAAGCTAATTAAATCAGTCATGAGGTTTTGCAAACTTACCTAAAAACATTGTAGGTTGGAATTCAAACTTTCTGAAATTTAGAACAAAAAACAAAGGAGACAAGCAGACTTCAAATACCTAATTTATTTCTAAATGTTGTGAGGTATGAAAATTAAAGACAATAATAGGTGATGGGTATAAGCACTCTTAGCAAATTTACAATTTGCTTTTGGCAGGCTTGTACAGGTAGATGTTCTTTCCTAAAAGTGGGTAGCTTTAACAGATTATTCTCAGAAGTTTTCACTTGGAACAGTTAGCTTGCAGAATGGGGCTTATTGTTTAAAGTTAAGTTTCAAGACCTCATTGACTTTAAAAGGTTCTCTCTCAAACAACTCTGATTTGCTTGTTACCGAATTTTAGTTCAGTGAGTAAAATCCCCTTAGGAGGTTAAGTTTTCAGACTCTGTTAGGAAAGCATGTCTGTTGTACAGAAGCACTTAAAACACACAAGTTCAATTGACTCCATTAAATTTAAATATGTGCTTATGTGTTGTTTGCATAAGCTCATGGCTGTGTCCTTTTACTGAATTGGGGTTTATATTCTGTGCCATTGTAAAACCTTTGCGTTACAATAAGAATTCAAATTTAATGTTTTTGTTACCTACCACAAAGCTAGATTTTTCCTACAAAGGCTGATACCATTGGACTTAGCCACAGGCTTTTGTCCATTTTTATTTCTTAAATTGTATACCTCAGGTTCTCATGCATGGGATCATTGGTGTTTGTCAAACTATTTGCTATTGAAAAAAAATATTTCAGATGTATGTTTAACCCTGTTTAAAAGTGATAACTGCCTTCAAAAATTTTGTATCCTGAAAGTTGTATCAGACATCATATGACTGGTTTTCTTGTTTTTGTGAATAGGTGTTAGTTTCTGATGTAATTTTTAACTTTGTTTACTATTGTGTGTAATAAGTTTAGGGGAAGAAATAACCTGCAATATGCCTATTAAATGGCAGGTAGCTAATACGGAAGGGGCAGCAGGTAAGTAATGTGTCTACATGGATAGAAATCTTAAACCTGTAAAAAGAAACTTTTTAATTCCATAACTAAAATTAAAGTAATTCTATGCAGGAACTGATATTTTTTTAGTCTACATCATTTGAAATCTGAACTCTTTCAAGGAATACTGCTTTCTGTTGGGTGTCATTTCCCTTCCTTCATCCTTCTTATACAGATTCCATTGCTGGCAATGGAGGTAAAATTTTGAATAAAAGAGTTAAATATAAACTTCTGATGGACGTCTTTGTAGATAATTAACTGAGGTCCCAGTATGAAGGCAGTAATTTCTACCTGATTTCTTTCTTCATTGGAGTGGTTTAATACCTTGTAATTTAGATGATTCTTCAGTATTTTGGGTTTTTTTCCATCAGATCTACTTTCTTTTAAAGAGGAAAAAAATGCAGGTGGGGGGGTAAGGGGAGGGCAGAGAATGTTCCAAAGACTGTATTTGCACCAAAAAGAAGTATGTCCCAGTATACATTTCATGCTGTAACTGGATCTGAAGTGGAATTCCTACCTAGCTTCAGATTATTCATATTACTGGCAATTTTCTGGGCCCTCTCAGGAACTATCATCTTGTTAATTTACTAATTTCTAATGATGCTTCAATTGCTGCTGAAGTGTTCTTTTGGTATTCAATTGTAATTCATCTGCTGTTGGTGAAAGGACAGATAGTCTATTCAGAAGTGTTTGATGTCTTGTATGTGGGCTTTCATAAGTAACAGTCAAGTAGCATTGTAAGGCTCTTGTCCTTCACTTTAATAAAGGAATTAAAGTATGGCTTAATATAGTGCATGATAGAAGCAGCAGAAATAAAGTAGTTTTACTGTAAGATTAGCCAAGAACACTGGTCTCCTTTTGGAAAAGCTGTTCTGACAGGTTAAAAAAAAAAAAAAAAATCTTCAAAGTATAAGTGGAATGTATTGGAAAATTTAACTTTTTTTGGTTTCATTCCCTTTCTGTTTTCAAATGTGCCAGTAACCTGATTTCAGATTGTATATTGCAAGATAGGCATTTGTCAGGCTTTTTAAGAAAGATTTTACCTAAATTTTGACTCAAACTTGAGTAGTTGTTGCACTCCATGCAAGTGTAAGGCAAAAGATGCCGGTTATTAAATTTAGGGTTTAGCTTTATGAGTGGACATTTGGATTTCTGTGTCTGAGAGTACTGAGGTTTCAGTGTGTGTTTTAAAAAAAAAAAAACCCCTAAAATCTGATTATTATGATTAGTAGCCTACCCAAGTCCTTGTAAATGTTTTCCCTAGTTGTATGTGGAATACTGCAGATTTAAATGTTGTACATATCTGTTTGTTTCTAGTAAAAATACATGGCATCCTTTCTTACAAAGTACTAATTTCTGATTTCCTTTTCTTACTGATGTGCTTCTGTCAATGTAGAGTTTAAGCATATTGACTTTTTACTAATTTTATTTAACCAACATTAAGACAAGCTACTTACAGAAAATACCCTGAAAACATGTTATACAGCTGGGATATAGCCTTAAAATCCTCCTGGATATGATTATGAAGGTAGCTTTTTACGCTGATTCAAATGTGAAAATATATTAGTAAGATTTCTTTTGTACTTGAAAGACTTCAGACCCTGTATTCTTATTGGTTGACATTCAGAAACAACTTCATGTTCTCTTCAGAAAAGTACTGGTCAAAATGCATAATTTGTACTGGTCAAAATGCATACATACTGAAACTAACTTGTATGCTAAGACCATTTTTTCTAAACCAGCAATAATATCATGTAACCAAATGTATGAATAATTTAGGTCCTCATAAAGAGGTTACAAATAGGTTCTATATAAATTATATATATAATGTGGCAGAATTCCTTCCAAAACGTATTTTGACTGTTTGGGAAGAAGTAACGTGACCTCTTTTATGAGGAGCTAAATTATTCATGAATTTGGTTGTATGATACTGTTAGTATAGACAAAATGGTCTTAGCATACAAGTTAGTCTCAGTTTGTATACAGAACTTCTGATAACCTCCTACAAATGAGATTTACCTCCCCACCCCACAATGGGATAATACTTTGGTGGTCAAACTGCAGCATGGGTAGCCTGCCTCTGTGTGGTGCACAGCAGATCAGGGAGGAGGCAGCACAGCAGCAGATAGGGCAAGGAGCACAGAGCAAGGAGCAGAAAGCAAAACAGCCAATAGGGCTGAAGAAAGGAATCAGTGTGGCACTTAGGAAGGGTGTGGGCTAATTTGTGGCATTCCGGTCAAGGAGATTGGCTCCCCACTGGGACAACATATGATACAAAGGCACATTAAAAACACACTATGTTGGGTGGTATCAATTAACTTAGGAACTAGTGTTAGTTTTTTCTCTTTTTTTTTCTTATGTAGATAGTCTGAAAGCATTGCCTAAAACCCACATCAGTTCTGGGCTGTGGTTAGTAGCAGAATCAAAACTAGGCTTCACTCTGGGGCTTTAAATTGGGAGGTAGTAAATGTTTTTTACATGCTATCTCATTGGAATTTTCAGATTTAAATTTCAATCTGATGATAAGATACATTGTTCAAGATTTGAGATTTTTTTTTAATATATCTGATTTAATAACCGCATTGGCACCATGTCCCTTGCTGTAATGTAATGTATTGTGTAATACAAAAGACTGAGCAACTGTTCATGTTGTTGCCACACTATTGCATTGCATTAAATATACATTTCTGTGTAATTTATTAAAGATGAGACAGTTAGGGATATACTTTTCTAAACACTCAGCTTGCTTGCAACTATAGATCTCTTTCTTTTGTAAAGGTAAACATCAGGTTTACAAAGGTTAAAAGAGGACAAATATCTTATTGGCAAAATTTAACATTTTTATAAAGGGGTAATTAGCATTCATATGATTATCTTGTACTGTTTCCTAATTCCCATTCCATGCAAAGGTATGTCATCAAACTATTTCCAAGATGATTTTGAAGTATGAAAATGACTTTTATATAAGTCGAAATACAGAATTATTACAACACATTGTAAACAAATGGATATCTAATTGCCTGACTCGAAACATTTTTTATAAACAGCAGCATTCTAATACCAGCAGAACGGTTTTTAAGGTGATGAGTCTGAAGATCTAGATTTTTTTCAGCAAGGTAAGACAGTATCACATCGAATACTCGTGTATTCAGTTGAGGCACCTCAGCTTCTAAATTAACTTCAGTTAAAGTTTATTTTACTA